GAAGAGAGGGAAGAGAGGGAAGAGAGGGAAGAGAGGGAAGAGAGGGAACACAAAAAACAGTGCGATGTCATCTTAGCCAAACCTGTGTTGGGACCTCAAACTAAAGATAATTTACAGTTGATGCTGATCAATCACTATCAAAAGAGAGCATCTAAATTCATGGGCAAATTAATGGACTCTAAGAATGTTCAATAAATTCCTTTTGGAGAGGTGAAGTGTACATAAAGAGATCAGGAGATACATGTCGTACTCTGATCCAGACAAGCACCGCGTTGTTTTGCTACATATCTTCTGAATTCAATTATTCCAGTTCTGCTCTGATTAGTGTGCAAAGTTCTATTATTCATATATATGAATTCACAACAAAAAATAATAGTATGTGAACAAGAAGACAGCGAACAACAAATGCACAAGTGCCAAAGTTACGAGCTACAGTACCATGGAATGAGCAAGGGCCTGGTTACATGTATTTATCACAAAAAAAGAAGAAACAGCAATACAGAGATAAAAAACTTAAAATGAAACCTGTGAGCGAGTCCCACGGTGCAAACAGTGCAAGAACTTTGTGTGTCTGCTCTTCACCATAAAGAGGAACATAGCCTACAGTTGACAAGCTAATAGGAACCTGAAACAAGAATGTACAATAATTCAGTAGACTCTTGCTAAAACAACCTTAGTAAAATACGCAGAGAATGTTTAGTAAGGTAAACAAGATGAACGTTGAAAACTGACTCATTAACAGACAACTGTAAAGGACAAGCACCAGATCCCAGCCCTTACTTCAGACATTTCTTCCTAAAGACAGACTACATTACAAAGAGCTTGACTCTCACACTGTGGCAGATTTAACTACAGTAATTTGTACTGTTACTTCTCTGTTCTGTCAACAGTTTGCATTTGTGTGCATAACTGATGTAAGGTGTGCAAGGAGCCAGCATTATGTTATTCAACTGTCCCAACTGCGCAAGCTGTCAAAGCCAACAGAAGAATGAAGCAGTCAAGCAGAGTAATAAACTGGCACAGCAAAATTGTTGTTTGTTAACAAGTTATAAAGCACTACAGTGGGAAGACTCGATTCAAAAGGGTTTTCTTCCCTTAAATTGCACACATTTTAGAAATTATGAAGTTGGCTGCTTGATTTTCCCCTCACAAACAACATGAAAAGGATAAAATAATCCTTCTTTAAGGAACTGAGTACCTTTCTGGAAATGCATTTAGATATTTAAATTCACATGTTTCCAATATTTAATTAATGCATAAAAAATAGACACTAAGAGTGTGGTAAATAAACTTGCTTAACGAATTTAAGAAGATTATGACAGGCTATTGTCACAAATGAGGACATTAATTCAAGCAACTATTTCAGCATACAGTACCTGCAGAAATGCAGGAAAGTAGTCAAGACTCTGCTTCTGCCAAGGAATCTGCAGCACTGACCTCAGCTTCACTTTTCATTAAGGCTATACATTATTGGTTTTATTGGTACTAATTCTAATAGAAATGTTCATCTGGACAGAACTAACACTCACCAACCTATCATGCAAGAAACACAGAAGTGTCAGAGCTAGCCTTTACTAGAGTTAAATAACAGCAGGGAATATTTCAGACAGAGAGAAAAGAATCACTTCTGAAATCAGTGAAACTTACTAATCAGAATCAAAACCAAGCATGAAGTACACTGAAGGACTGAGATATGAAAAGAGTCAATCAGTTTCAATATATCATGAACTCCTTAGTAATGATGATAGATTTTTGAGACTGCATGTGGTAGTCCTTTATAGGAAAGGGTTTGAATAGACAGTTGAAGATTTACGGTTATGGTTTGGGTTTTTTTTTTTAAATACTTAATGCATGCAGATCCACTGCCTAGAAGCAGCAGAAAGTCAGTGATACCCAGATTTTTTTTACGTGATTTTTTAATTTTATTTTTTATTATTAAGAACACTGGGACTATGGTATTTGCTGGTTCTTACTTTGCGGTGGTCTGGCAGAGAGAAGAATGTAGGACAGTTTAGCTTCCCCCACCGAAGATCAAAGAGGAAGTCCTCTGCTGAGCTCTCCAAGTCCTCATGACTGCAATTGTTCAATATATCCACAGGGAATGACATCCTCTGGAGAAATAAACAACATTATTAACATAGGTAGTTTGAGATATACAACATCCATGTAAATAAGACTGTTGCACACCCACACTCTGCTCTTCACTACAGTCCTCTGTACCCATGACAGAAGGGAGAAATGCTCCAGGCACTTAATTAGGATGGTGAGTACTAACAGCCAGTCTCTAAAACAATACCTTAACCAAATCTATGTTCACAAGCAGAAAAGGATGAGATTGGCCTATAGGTCCCCCTAGACCCAGTTGTTGCAGTTTTCCAACACATACAAGCCCCCTGTTTGCAGCACAAGCACATGCAGCCTTGAGGTGGCAAACTCAGTTATCTCTCTCCCAGATGATGTTTTTGATATCACAGGTTAAGCCACAACTGGGTAGTAAAATATAAAGTAAACCACCCAAAAGATAACAACAGAAGGGATTAATTTATTTTTGAGACTTCGCATTTAAATCCATCTCTGAAGAAACCAAAGCATTGCTCAGGAATTCTCTCTAAAACTAAACAGTGAGTATGTCTAACAGATGGTTGTCTCCAAAGCGTTTTGACTGTGAACAGAAAATTATACAAGCTCATTAAAAACAAAAGCCTGCAACAGACTAAAGAGACACACTTTAAGGAGGTGACAAGACAGAAACTAAAGTACTGAAGCCAAACCATGGTGGCAATAACTCATTGAAAGCTCTTAGATTCAAATTTTCCTTGTCAAAGGAATGTCAAATTAAGATGAACAAGAGCTCCTGGAATTCCCAGTGCACTCTTCAGGTAAGGCTCTATAAAACTATAGACAGAAATAGACCCCTCAGCTGCTTTCAAGCTATGTCACAAACTCTCAGAAGCATGAACTAACAGAAGTTCACAAGAACCTGTTCTGGAGGAACACAGGGGTCTCGATCTTGTCCCATAAACCCCTCACAACTCTCAAACTCAAAGGTTTTCATGTAAGTTGTACAATTCCTAGTCTCTGCTCTGGAGTCTTTTTTTTTCTTTACTTTTATTTTAAATCCTAGTGTGCAGTGATTTTCTTCTCCACTTTCTCTTCAGTCCTCTCTATTTAATCCACCATTCAGTGTTTTACTGACACAGGTAAATCAAATGCAAAAGAACTTACTGTGACTCACTCAGTAGCAATTAAAAGTCTGCATTTTAAAAGCTTTTAAACAGCAATAATATACTACTATTCAGTTGCTTGAATAGATGAGGCCGCTCCTTCTACAAAAGTGATTCTTTTTCCTGTTAAAATTGAACGACAAACTTGGACCTGACTTCATGGGCATCTACAACTGCCATCTTTAATGCTGTTGCTGATAAAAACATGAATGTTTTCCATGAATGCTATTGTTCAGATATACACGCACATTCCCCACAGCCATTTCCTTTCAAATTCAGGTCATTCCTTCCCCTCAGCTGTTATTTGCACTTTCTCTTGCATTCTCTTGCAGCGTCTCACATTCCTTCTATTATTGCTCACTGCCCCTATGAGATACTTAGCTGCATCTCTTAATTCTCCACCTGTTTCTTCCCACATTTCAGGTGCTGCCCTTGCTAACAGGGCAGAAGCAAGTAAGAGACAACTGACACCAACTCCATTTGCTCCTCCTGTTTGTAAGCAAACTGACTCCAAGAGCCAAAGGTGATGTGTGCGAGCTTTTGAATGCAGCAGCAATGCACAGCAGCCAGAGGAGCTGCTGTCAAGGATGAAATTCATCCACCACTGGTCTCCTCACCTCTGGCAGATATGGCTTACCTGCCCACATAACAGTCCTGAAGCACACCAGCAATACTGTAATCAATGCACACAGACTACACTGACATAAGTACATTGCAAGAAAAAGCCACGTAATCTCATACATGACACTATTTCTGTAAGAAGATGAGGCTTTAGCACCCGGTTAGCTGCAAGAGTCCAGGTATTCTGCTGTAAAGGACTACAGATCTGGCAAAACTACAAAACTTAATTTTCTGTATGCTCACAGAAAGGGGAAACCCCTCTCCATTATTAAAGAAATGCCAAAGTGCTTGGATAACTCTGATAATAACAAACAAATTGAGCTGAAATTTCATTACTACAGGACAAGCAGACGAGCAAGCTGCAAACTCTAACCCTCTAGGTAATAATTCTTGACATTTTTTTAAGAATAAAATGACGCAGGACAAGAGCACATAATAAGAAATTCAGTACATTATCTGAGTTCCAACCACTACACCACTATGAAAATAAAAGCAGCAACCATATGTCTGCTTATAAGCAAAAAAGACAAAAGCCCCTTTTTTTTTGCTAATTAATAGATTAATTAAATTACACTCAAAACCATTCACAGAGTTTCTTTCTGTTTAGCTGTTTGGTTACCTTATTCCACATAGCACACTTTCATTTTATTCACTCCCAACTCAGTTACGGTAGTCACTTTCAACTTCTTTTAGAGCATTTACAGAGAACATACTATGTAGAAGAAAACAGTACAGAGCAGTCTTCAAGACTGAACCAAATAAAACCTACTCAGCACCTCTCGTATCATTTTTACCATGCAGCAGATCATACACTTGCTTTCATACACTTGCGTGATGTACTTTCTCTCAGTGTTGATGAGATTAGAAACAGTTCACTACATCCCTGAAGAAATCACTAACTGTTCACAAAGTTATACAGTTATATTAAAAGCTTTAAACTAGTGATGAAAGAAGAACATTCTGTGCCAATCTACAGCAAAGCATAGGGCAGTAGTTCAACAGTCCAAAATGCAAACATCTTAATTCTGAAATGCAAAATAACATACTAAACACAAATGAAATGTCTTCCAAAAGTAATGAAGGTCCCTCACAATGGATATGTCCCTCACAAAACCAAAGTTGGTTTGTCAGTGTTTCAAACAAAGTAAAAATACAAACGGCTCCACATCTTGACAGTTTCAAGTAAAACAGGATAGAGACAAAGAGCAGGAGAAAACAGCTTTTCAGGTTTCCTTGACAAAAGCATTAACACATTTTTTGCTGCAGAGGAAGCAGGAACATTGCAGGTCTCTGCTATGCAGTCCCTCATGCCCCTCTTTGTTGCTCTAAGCCTCCATGCATTGCACGACTGTACAACTGTCAGGTCAAATCCTTGTCACATGTGCGACCATGCTCTGCTCACAGGGTACCACTCCAGTTTGCTGGCAAATAGCCAGGTGGACCAAGCACATACAATGCAGCCTTAAGCAACCAAACCCATCATGACCATTTGTACAAAAAAGCACATAAGAAGTGTGTGTTTAGAGAGGAGAGAAGAAAATATTATTTTTTAAATGAGACAACTTACGCTTTTCATTTTTCAAGTAAAAGAAAATAAATCTTACACTCTTTAAAACCATATCATTTCACACAATAATATTAAAAATTTTGTGCAATAAACTCACATGAGCAATATTTCCTTTAATGCAGAATCATATGCCTTTCTCCCTTGTCAACATGATGCAAGCTACTAAACAAGAAATGGCACATCCTTCTTTAGGAACAACTGCAGCACCAAAGGGATCAACTCAGGGAACATATTTAACAGGATGAGTGAAGTCATTCCTGTGCAACACAGGCAGTTCTTTATTCACAAAACCTTTATTACTACAAGCTTTAAAGTTAAAAGAAAAAAACCAAACATAGAATAAGTGGGTAATATTGCAAATGGGTTTAATTATAAGTTACATCTACAACCCCTATTTCACCTTTGAAGTGCATGAAGGAAAGATGCACAGTACATGCAGCTTCCAGCTCATATGTGGATTTCAGCAGGAATCGAGAGATCTATCTATCCCCTTGCAGTCCCTCAATAATGAGTATCACAAAACAGCAGAAAGGTAAGAAGCCAAAAGCTGTATTATTTCTTACAGCATGTCAGAGGGCTTAAATACAGCTTAAAACTGGTTTGGGGTGGCTTTATCTCAGAGGAAGTGAAGTTTAAGTGGTTAGGCTGACAGCCAAGGATTTTAGAGGAATCAGGATGAATTTCCAGCTGTAGCACAGACTTAATGTGAGCACAGACACGTTACCTGATCTGCTTGAATACCTCATCTACAAACAAAAATAATCATTACCTCAGAGAGTAATATGAGAAATACTTCACTGAGATCATGAGATACTTGAACAAAAATTTTATCGAAACTTGACAAGTATTGGAATAGACAGTTATTTACACAGCACAACTTAACTGCATATCTCATTTTCTTAAAAAAAAAAATCACAAACAATCCTCCAAAGTCTTTTCAATATAAAATAATATTTAGGACAAATAATTATGCAGGCAAACAATCTTCAGATTTAAATTTGTGTTTAACAATAAATAATTACAATTTAATTTGCTGGTATGGGTTGTTTTTCTCTTTTTAATTATGATTTCTGCTTTAGAGAAGAGACAACAGGGTGCAGAACAGGGTGCTAAACCAGGACAACTGCATTTCTTATGAACCATCAACACCTTAAAACAAGTTCTATCTTAAAAATATAATCCATGATCCTAGCATATCTCCCAGACTAGCTGAAAGCTGCACCTGGGGTAGCATTGTCGGAAAAGACATAAATAACAAATTAAACATATATCTTCATATATACACCAGTTTTGGAAAAAGCCAAGAGAAGTCCCAAGCCATGCTCCAGGCCCAGACTGTTGAGGCACAAAACCAGCAATCGTCTTGATCTGAGCACCAGGAGCATCCTTTCCATTTTGCTGTGATTGTTTCCCACCTTGCAACATCCAATTGCTGGTTTGGTGAAAGCTGCGAAACTACGCAGGAGATGGAAGAGAATTTAAATTTTTTAAAAAGTAGTATTTTCAGTCTTCTGACTTCAACCACCAAAAAAAAAAAAATCACATCTGCTACTTCTAAAACTGTTAAAGCTCTCCAAGAACTAATTCTATTAACAGACAAATTACATAAATGTTTCTTTGCTTTTACTACCAGCTGTTACATATACAAAGAATTTTCATTTTATTTCTTCTTCCTTCAACATCCAATAATTTAAATTGA